ACACACATATACACACGCGCGCACACACATATACACACGCGCGCACATATATACACTTATACACATATATATATATTTTGCTTCACATGGGTTATGTAGGTGAAGAATAAGTTATTGTTCAAACCACACCATACCTACAGATATTAAGACATTAATCATCAGCAGAGCAGAAAATAAATCAAAACATTCAGTCTGATGCTCTGCAAGCAGAACCAGATTCTGGACCTCTTCGAAATAAAAGTCTTCTTTTCAAATGTTTTACGAGAAGTAGGTCAAAATGCATGTCATCATATGACTGTACCTTCAGCCGATGCTGTAAAAAAGAAGACTTTCGCCTTCCAAGACAAGCACCTCTGTAACATCTCTCAGATCTCTGATTTGTGAATTGTATGGAGTAGGGATGTCACCCTCTGGTGGTTGTGCACGTTGCTGAGTAAGACAGAACTCCAGAGATTCTGATGAAAGTACAGGGAATTAAACATGCTAATAATTATATACAAACACATTTTATGTAAGTGATCTAGGTTGTAGTTGAGAAAGTCCCATTAAAAATAAGTAGTTTAGATGAAAGTCATGCAACTAATAAATGATTGTTGTTGGCAAAACAAATTTAAAAACAGTTTAGAATGAGCGCATCCAGAAGAAGGCATCACTGTTACGACTGTCTAGTCAGACCTCTGACACACACATTCAATTCGTAATGATTGGACTCTTCTCAGGCAAGAACTTCCTTCGTCAGAATACGTGTTCAGTGTTTCACACAGTGGACACCTCAATGGCAGAGAAATGCAGTGGAATGAAACCAAGAAAATCCTGTCCTTCACATGTATGAATACCAATAATAACCCTCCTAGCACTACCACTGATGGAACAAGCGTGTATTATTTGTTTTAAGTGTTTACATTTTGTGCTTGCTGGTATTCAAGGACATGGGACCTTGTCTTCTGTAATGTGAAAAAAATAAAAAAACAAATTGTATTTATTTGGAGTCAATTGAGTTCCGTCTTTGGTGTCTTCACATTCAGAATAGCAGATATCAAGGCTACCACATGTGGCCATTTGCTGCCGCTCATCTTAAGTCAGTATTATTAGTCCTTCACAGTAAAACAATGAAGACAAGCTGCATTCCAGTTTGGTGGCTTTGTCTGCATGTCTAGACTGAAATGTGTCAGCTGAGGAATGACCCCGCCTGCATTTGGAGACGGTGCATACAGGTGACAATTGCCAACTTTGAAATTTGGGAAATATTGCATGGCCATGTTTTTAGAATCAGGTATTCATTAATGTACTGGTACATGTAAGTTAACTCATGACCTGGACCAATGAAAATACTATAAGGTCAGAATTGGTATTTGTCAATTGTACATTACCTGGTATGTAAAAAAAAAAAAAAAACACATTGTAAAAACACTGAATTTACAAGAGTTCTGCACTACAACGGAGAAAAAAAAAATGCTAACATTTTGTAACTGGAGTTGAGAAAACAAAACATCCATCTCGTGAGGTGGAGGATGAAGTGGGTCGGACAGTTCCCTGCAGCTCGTGCCATTTTACTGTTGAATCAACACTTGAAGAGCACAGTCAATTGTTGGCTGTAATAAGGAAAATAAAATGCTCCTCACTGGGTGTTTACATGTTTTTGGTTTCTATATATTCAAGATCGATATGTCACAACAATATGAGACGTTGTCAAAGTCTGCTCTAACACAAAGCACAGAATAAAGAGCCATCATTGTTTTAGCCATCACACAGCTTTCCAAATGCTTTCATAGCTGTGGTAGTTACATATTCAAGCCAATTCAGTTACATTTATTTGTCTTGCCCAAAATTACAAATTAGCCTCAGAGGGTTTTTCAATCAGTACAGCATACGACATCCTCCGTCCTTGGACCCTCGCATCGGAAAAGTAAAACCTGCATAAAAACACCGCTTTAAGGGAGAGGAGCTCGGTGTATCCTAGGAAGTCTCCCAGCAGTCTAGGCCTACAGCAGCTTATCTAGGGGCTGGTCCAAGGCAAACCTGAGCCGGCCCCAACCAGAAACCTGAGCCGGCCCCAACCAGAAACCTGAGCCGGCCCCAAC